TCCTTGCTTCCTCCTTCTTGCTAGGCACACAATGAAACCAGGATGAAAATAAGGATCTCTCATATTTCAAGTGTGGATTCAAAAGCTACACTAAAGATCAAGCAAAATTCTGTCTTTTACACCCAGCAAGAACTGCTGTTTGAGCTTCTGCTGAGCAGTGAGAAGCAGAGCTTTTTTCTCTAGCCCACATTTCCTAATCACCTCCAGATGTAAAATTGATGGGGGTGGTGAGGGTTAGTTACCAGAGAAATAAAAGCATTTACTCAGTCATAATTATTCCATCACTCTCAAACATGTGGCATTTTAATCATTTCTCCTGTGAAATACCAACCATAGGCTTCTCTCATAACACAGATAAGTGGCTCAACACAAAAATGGTTTTAGGAAAGGAGAAGAAAAACATTTTCCTCAAGCAGGAATCAAAATCAATGGTAATCTATGGGGCAAACTATTTGTAGAACAGTCTCTTCACTGTGTTTCTCAGAAAGGAGGTTTTGCCTAGAAGAAAGTGTAAATCATATGTCAAATGAAGAAAATTTAAAGTATTTAAGATTTTAACCAAAGTAGGGCCCTCTTCTTCCCCTCTTTGATTACAATACTGCAGATGTATTGCCTAGATGAAACCCTAAACTAAAACTGAAATGACATTTTTATTCTAAGCCTGTATTTTTACTTCCTTTCAGCTTTTGCTTTTTAAGCTAAAAAAGTCTCTCATTCTTGGTACAATGATTTTTTTTTTTGCTAAGTAATTAAAAACCAATTGTGTTTAAACCTTTTGAGATGCTCGGTTTTATGCTGTATAACTCAGGATTTGGTTTCTAAAACCTCAAATTTAGCATCTCAAAGAAGAATAGTATCTATGGCATGTTTGAAAAAAATGTTTTGAAATGAAGTGATGGGCATTTAAAAATAGAATTCAGACACTGCATAGCACCCTCTCATCTTTTTTTCAATGGGGGAGCAGAATGACACATTTGCATTATGCTGCCAGAACACTGTTGCCGTGATTTTGTTGAGTTTCACAATGGAGAAGGGAGTTGCAGAGACCACTCATAATCATAGCATAGCCACCGCGAACATGCAGCACGTTCCCAATTGACACACTCAACTTAGAAATAGAAATGACCAGCCTATCTAGACAGCAGAGACTTCTTTCCCTGCTCCCACCCCGCCAGCTCTGAACATTCTACAATACTCCTAATCATCAAAGGCCCTGCCCAACTGTCAGAGCTTTAATTCAACCTGAGTGTCCTCTTCCGTAGCCACTCTTAGGGTAGCTCTGGCGACATTTAAGATTTCAAGAATGCTCAGGAATCAGAGGGATTTAGAGAATCTGGAACTTTGTGGACTAGCCTTGAAGCCTGATATTCATCCATAATGCTTTCCTTCTAAGAAAAGCTATCTCAAAATTAAAATAACTTATAAATGAAATTTTGAAAGATAAAGCAATCCCTCACTAATTGTAGTTGGTTTCCTGAAAAGTACTATGTTTGACAAAATCACAACTGGTGTGAAGGAAGTGGAGAGGGAAATAATAGAGTAAGAATGCCTTTAAAATATTTTTTAAATCTCAAATAAATATTCTGAAAAGCACTTGCTTCCAAAACTAACCAATTTCATCACTGTAAACATTAATTATCAATAGGAGGAACCCTTCTCTTAGAACATGTCTTTTTCAGTGTTCATGAAATCTATTGTTGTGTCATGATCTGCTTAGGCAGATATTTAAAATTTAGTCAATGGGAAGACAATATTTCTTTATAAATTCTTCAGATTAGCAGTTACAGGCTTCAACTATGTTTTGGTAGTCAGGAAGATGAGTCACTGGGTCCTGTTTCAAGGGAGGATTTGCTGCCCAGCTGCAGGAAATGTGTCCAGTAGATAGTCTCCTGCTGTTAGCTCTCTCAGGGTCTGTCTCACCTGCAGAGAGCCACCTCACCTGGAAATATGTCCTTTCCAGGATAGCCTTCCTCCAGGGACTGAACCAATGAGGTAACACTTGCTCCAGAGCTTCTCACCAGGTTGGCCAACTCTTTGGCAGACCTGCAATGCAGCAAGACTTCTCCCTCTGCCCCGTTCTTCCTTCCCCCTTTCTTTTAAACGTGTCTATTTCTAATAAACATCTTGCATTCCAAACTGTCTGTGTCTGCTTCCAGAGAACATAAACTGTGACATGTCTTTTTCATTCATATTCTCTCTTGCTTCATTTTACTACAAGTCTTAAGAAAATGCTTGTGTATGCTCAACTCTTGGAATTATCAAGATATTTAAGAGCATGTTTTTCAGGGTCTAGCCTTCACTTTATTTAATGAAAGGAAGGAATACAGGTAGCTTTCTCCCTGCATTATCCCACAGGGTACATAGAAGAGAACACAATCACCAAGTTATTTTTTTTCTCTAGGAAGATTAAACTATACCTTGCCTACAAAATTATAAAATAGCATGCATTCATTCGATAGTACTGATTATTGAGCAACTGCTACACACCAGGCACAGATGAAGAAAGCAGTGAAAAATCTCCTGCTCTTGACGAGTTTCCATTCTAGTAGTTGAGACAGACAAAAATCAGTAATTAATATAATACCATACCAGGGTCTATGAAGAAAAATAAAGTAGGGTGAGAGGACAGAGAATGACTGGAGAAGCATCTATTGTTTTAAAGCCACAGGTAGGGAGGCATTGCTCTGCCCCATACATTGCTAGGCTTGCACAGTCACATGCGCATTTAGTGAATCAATTTTCTCGATAGTGCATATCATTCTTGTTCTAGTGAAGAATTCATCATGCTCAGCTCTACTAACATAATATTTCTCCTACATTGTGAGTCCACCTGCTACATGAAACATAAAATCTTAAATCTATGTTACTAACCTATATAGCAATTCTGTCTTGGGGAAAGAGCAGCCTGAGCCATCATAAGCTGTAGTTAGACACAGCTGTCTAAGGCAGATGGCTTTAGTGGGCAATATCATAAGCTTGCCAGATTTTTTAAAATATGAAAGGGTTTTCTGCCTCATTAGTACTCCATGGTTGACCATCCACAAACACCTGGTGTTCACACTTATTCTTCTTGTGAAAATGGAACTATACATAGTCTTAGCTCTAAAGGATATGTTATATCATCTTTGTCCACAGGATCTAATACTTAATTTATAAAGGCACAGGTAACAGAAAAACCCTTCCTCACAGTAAATATAATTTAATTGAGATGAAAAATTGAAATCAGGACCAATAGGGACTTAGAGTAATGGTAGAGGCAAATTAAATTACTCTGCTCCTTCCCAATACTCAAACTACTTTGTTTAGAAGGGTTCCCAGGTGGCCTTCACAGTTCTGTATTTACACCATCAACATAAGAATGAATAACACAAATGACAGTTTCTTTCTAAGAATAACTGTGTACATCTCCACTTTTATTTTTCTACTCATACATAGGAGCACTTTGTCATAATCATCTTCAACACATACAATACATGAACACCAACATCACAGTGTACTTGCTCAAGGCAGGAATCAAACCCTTACTATATCTTATTGAACTCTTGTTATGAGGTAAAGGGGAAAAAAATAGACTTGGAGTTTGAAGAAACCATTCGAACTTAGCTACTGTAATTTATTAGTTTTTTAAAAGATTAAATTTCAAGGCTTATATTTGTAAAATGTAAAATTTGTAAAAATTTGTAAAAAATCAGCATCTACCCAAATTCCTCACAAGGTCAATAAAAAGATGTGTATTAAAGTACTTTGAAAACTACAACATGAGCAAAGGTGTTGTCACAGCTGGAGTTTGTTTGGATTTAAGTGTTAACATATTCTGATAAAATTTAATTAATCAATGAATGTATCTTCTTTCATTTAAGAAGTATTTATTCAGTAACTTCTGTGTTATACTGTAGGGAATATTAAAAAGCATAGCTATCCCTGTTACCAAAGAGCTTACAAATCAGATTTCAGAAGGGGAATGTAAGGGAATAGGAGTTTTGGTTTTTGCCAATACTTCCTGAGTACTTTCTATGTGATAGATATTGTTACAGAGTCTTACATGTAGTAACTCTCTTCATCTCCAAAAACCCTACGTAAAGGTAAAATTTTTATTTTACAGATGAAGATGAGGTACAAGAAGTTTGGAATCCTGCCCAAAGTTGGAATCCTAGACAGTATTAAAGCAAATTACACACTCAAGCAAGTTAGCCACATGTTATATTATACTTTAAGTTGGGCAGAAAACACACGCATCATTAATAATAACTAATAAGAATTAACAATACTATGACAGTATATGATAAATGAAGAGATCATCCTGGGGAGAGGTGGTCAAGGACGTCTTCATGATCTGAAACCAAAACTAGATCCAAACTTGTTTTGAGGACTCAGATAAGAAAAACTAGAGGACAAATAAAAATATTATGTTGCATATGTACTTTTTGAAGGTGCAATATATATTTACTTTATTGAAATATAATATACATATAGAAAAATGCAAAATATATACATTTGAAATATCTCATTGGGTATGTACTCTCATAGATTGGCTTATTTCATAATTAAAACACAGCAAAAAACTGACTTAAAGCAATGTCTGATTACCTATGCACATACCAGTCTTAATATACTCCATTTTATTTCAAAGAATTACAATTTAAGTACTTTCCCATAATCAAGATCATTCAATCCTGGCCTATTATAATGGAAAATAGCTTGAAATAGAATAATTAATGTCTTTCCATAATAAAAAATGCCGCCAGGCAAATTATTTTCAGTTTGCACGAGAAGCACTGTGTTGATTTTCTATGGTATAGACAGGAAGATGTCTCACTTGCTTCTCTGGATTTTATGTTTGCTATAATTATAACATTTTATATATAGGAAAGCAATTTTGAGAGCAACTTTCCAAATGGCATGCAAAACAATGGCCAACCATGGTTTCTACTGATTTATATTTCCAGCAGAACGTGTACACTGATTGCTTGTTGGTCCCGTGTGTATCCGATGAAACTTACCAAGTGATATGTCTGGGCCTTTAAGACGTTGAGATCAATAAAGTTTTCTTCATTATCTGTCTCCTCTTCCTTAGGAAAATAAAATAATTTAAAATTATAAAAATTATAATTAAAAAAATATATTTCCAGCTTTCACATATATAATATACTAACCTATACTAATAAGCTTGATATAAAGATTCATGTAGGAAAAGGCATTCAAAAACCCAGTGAATGCATGTATAAAGTAAGGCATAATATTATTAACAGCTCATCTGGTTTTTGAGGTTTTGATGGGACCATTTAAATAGAACATTTTTTGCAGTCACTGACAGAAAAAAAAAGGAGGGGAAGGGAGCCATTGAGATAAACACAAAAACAGGAAAGGGAAACAGACCCAAGTGATTTATCTGAAATAAATAGGAGTTTGAGCAATATGATTGAAATGGACAAAAATGAGAGGTTATAGACACAGAATATTCTCAGTTGCTCTAAAAACCAATCACATTTATGCATATTTTTGACATCTCATCTCTTGTATGCTCAAGCTTGATAAGGTAATGGTTACCAGCACTACTTGGCACATGGCCTTAAATCTATCTAAAAGGATAGTTCAGGTGGATTCCAAGCTAATCCTGATCTGCAGACCAATTGGTTGTAGGGGTTAGGGATAGGAAGTGGCCCTTTGAGAGGAAACTCTCTCCTCAATATGCAGTAAATATGGAGTCTGAGCAGGTTCTATGAACATGTAGGACAAAATATGAACTCCCTTTTTCTTCAAATGTCTTTGTGGTGACAAGTGACATAGTAAATGAAACAAACTTAATATGACTATCTTGATCTTAAGGACATGGTAATAAAGCCAATGGAGCTTGGTCCTCAAGTCATATGATCTAGTAAAGAAAAAAACAAACCAACAAGTGAGTGTCCACTGGTGAACACTTCCATATGTAGAACTGCATAAATTTGCAGTTGTAGATTTCAAAGATAATTCTTATCTTCAAGAATTTAGAAACACATTAAACACTGGTCTCAAAGTGTGGTTTTGAGACCAGCAGCATCTGTATCACCTGGGAATTCATATACTGCAATTCTAAGGCTCTATCCCAGATCTACTCAGAAAATCTGGGAGAGGGGCCACTAAAGTATGATATGAGACCTATGCTATTCTTTGGAGAACTGGGAAGATTTTAGTAAAATAAAAAACAATATAAATGTAGAGTCTACACACTCAAGTGACATTTAATTTTTAGGGGGGGGGGCAGTGGGGCACAGAAGTACAGATGAAACTGATTGGATCTTAAATCTGAAAAATGACTTATTCTGTGTTTGCACTAATGATGGTCTACTTAACAAAGTAAATGATTGAAATGCCAATGACTCAATGCCCATAGGAGAAGAGATAAGTTTATAATGCTTTCACAATAACCTGATCAGTACTGTTTAGATAGGCAATCAATAAGTACTTGTTGAATTACATTGGACTGAACACTACTAGGTAAAAAGCTTTAACAGTAGCTACTAAAATCAATCAGGGTCCAATATCTTCCCATAGCCAGTATTCACAGGTTCAGGAATCAAGGGGTAGATATGCTAGTGGCAACACTTGCTATTATCCCTCCTAGTCTGCTAGCAAAATTTTTGCTTCCTGTTCCCATGACTTTATGATTTGCTGGCCTAAAGGTCTTAGTCCCAAAAGGAAGAATGCTTCCACCAGTAGATACAATGATCCCATTGAATTGGAAGTTAAGGCTGCCACTTTGGGCTCCTCATACCTCTGAATCAACAGGCAAAGAATGGAGTTAATGTACTGGCTGGCTAGATCCTGACTGGACTGCTACTCCACAATGGACGTAGGAAGAGTATGTCTGGAATACAAAAGATCCTTCAAGACATCTCTTAGTATTACCATGCCCTATGGTTAAAGTCAACAGAAAATTACATAACCCAATCCAGGAAGTACTGTTAATGGCCCACACCCTTCAGGAATAAAGGTTTGGGTCACTGCACCAGGTAAAGAACCACAACCAGCTGTGGTGCTTGCTGAAGGCAAAGATAATACAGAGTGGGTAACAAAGTAGTTATAAATATCAGCTACAAGGAGGAAGGGAGGGGTAAAAATCATACTTAAAAGGTACAATGAACACTATTTGGATGATGGACACACTTACAGACCTCACTCAATCATTATAAAAGCTATCCATGTAACAAAAACATTTGCATCTCTTAATATTTTGAAATAAATAAATGCCAGCTAAAGCATGTGATCAGTTACAGAAATGAGGATCATTGTCATGAGTATTTCATTGATTTTGTTATGAATATATTCGTATGCAGACATTTTCATTTTCTTCCCTCCTCTATTTCCTTATGTAACTTAAGATGTATTAACTTTATGTCATAGTATTTGAGTATTGTTATTTTTGCATCATAGTATTTAAGTTATAGGATATGACGGCAAAGAGTAAATATCACTCAAGGACTGTATCTCTTCTGGGGAAGGGGTTAGTGTTATCTGTTATATATGGAATAGTTACATCATATCAGGCAGAATTATGACCTTGCTATTGTCTTGATTTGGCAATTATGGTTTAAGATGATGTGTATGAATTCCAAATGACAAGAAATGAACTTGTGATGGTTAATTTTGTGTGTCAATTTGACTGGGCCATGGGATATTTGGTTAAACATTATTCAGAGTGTGTCTGTGAGGATATTTCTGAATAACATAAATAATTGAATTGGTAGACTAAGTAAAGCAGATTCCCTGCCCCAATTAGGATGGGCCTCATTTAATCTGTTAAAGGCCTGAGTAGAACAAAAAGTCTGAGTAAGAAAGAATTTACTCTCTGCCTGTCTTCAAACTGGGACATTGATCTTCTTTTGCCTTGAGATGTGGACTGAAACTTACATGATCAGCTCAGTTCTTCTGGTTATTAGGCCTTCAGACTCAAACTGGAATTCTACCATCAGCTCCCCTGGGTCTCCAGCTTACCAACTGTGGATCCTGGGATTTCTCAGTCTTCATAACCACGTAAGCCAATTTCTTACAATAAGTCTCTCTCTATAAAAATATATGTATATTTGTGTGTGTATGTATATTTCCTATTGGTTTTGTTTCTCTGGAGAACACAAACCATTACATAGAAAAAGGATTTAGTTACTAATAATAAATATTAAGAGCATTCAAAAGGAGTTCAAATGTAAATAGGCTTAAAATAGTTTAGTTTAAATTATTAGGATAAATTAAGACTGTGATCTAATATTTCAAAAGGCACTCAACAATTTCCTGCCATTTCTTTGCCTGATATGTACCTTCTTGATTCTCTTACCTCTAATTACTAAGGATATGATTATATATAGCAGGTGAGAATATTCTGTGTCATAACCAATACTCTTTTTTACAATTATCAACCTGTCTTATCTTGATGTGGCCATCTAGTTTCTAGATGACTATAGCAGAACTCTGTCAGAATGATCGTCATTAGCCTTGAGTAAGCCCACAAATTCTGGCAACAGAATCTAGTAATAGCTCACCATCAAAGGGCTCCTTGGTTTGAACCAGTTCTCCTTAGCAAGAAGAATAGTAGAGGTAAGAGAGGGCCCCATGTGATGACAATAAGGAAGAAAGGAAAGAAACCATATTCAAGAGACATGATGCAAGGGAAAGAACAACAGCCTCAGAGGCAACTCCTTTAAGGAAGGCCTTCAGTATGGTCTCATGATAGAAGGTCTTTACCTCATAGTTGGGAAGAAATATGTGAAGAGGCTGCTTTCTAGTATATTTCTCTAAATTTATACTCCCAATAATGCTGCTATGAACTTTAAAGGGTTCCTAGAAAAAAATTAGCTATAATTTCTAAAAGTTACACAACAATGTGCTGACAGATGGATTTTATGGTCAAATACTTAATGAACACCTACTATGCACCCGGCCCTGCACCATAAGCTGGAGAGAGAACACTGAGAAAAATCAGACATGGTTTTTCCCTTCAGATTTTTTTTTCCTGACTAGTAGGTTTTTCTTTTTTTCCCTAATTAGAGTTTTAAGTTATATTTCTTTGAAGTTAAATGTTGATATACTATTAATAGGACCAAATATCTATCAAACTATTAATTACTATTAGTTATTAAGAAGACATGATGAGGTAAATAACTGAGTAGAATAAATAAGTGAACAATTAGGAATATGTGAGGACTTAATTTCTGAGCTTGAATGGAAAGAGCTATTGCACAAAGAATAAAGTCTAAACTGCTTAAAATGTCCAACACAATACAGAATGAATGAATATATTCTTGCTTTGACTTTTTAAATTTATGACATTAAAAAAATCTTTTAAATTGATTAGTTTTACAATGTTCTTTTTCCTTCTGTAAATAACAGTCATCCTTTTTATATATGTGGTTAAACATGTTTATACTGTTGCTACATGTTAAAGACTTTGAAGACAAATAAGAATAGAAAAGAATCACCCATAATCCTTCTATCCATATATAACTAATGTTAACATCATTTTTTTAACATTTTTATATAGTTGAGGTCATGATGACAAAATTTGAAATCCTTTTTTCAAATCATTTTATAGCATAAATTACAGTATAAGTTATCATTCCCATGTCAATAATATTTCTTTGTAAATAATTTTAATGGCTACATAACATTTGAATATAGTCTAATTTATTTACTGTATATTTTTAAAGATTTGTTATTAAAATAATGTGGTGAGAACACCTCTGTAGCATATACTAATTTAAACAACAAACCTAAATTACTTAAATTACTTTCAACTAAAAATTATTATCTATTGATTTTTTAAAAATCACCTAAAAAAGTTTAATTGGTTTATAACAGTAAAATGACCTTTGAACAATATGGGTTTGACTGCATGGGTCCACTTACAGATTTTCTTTCGCTTCTGCCATCTGTGAGACAGCAAGACCAACAACCCTCTTGTTATCTTTTGCTGTTCTCTTTCTCCTCCTCAGCCTAGTCCACATGAAGACAAGGATGAAGACCTTTATGATAATCTACTTTCTTTCAATGAATAGTAAATATAATTCTCTTCCTATTGATCTTTTTTCTCTTCTCTAGCTTACTTTATCAAAGAATATAGTACATATTAAAAATATATATAATATACAAAATATTATACAAAATACAAAACAGTTAATCAACTGTTTATATTATCGGCAAGGCTTCTGGTCAACAGTCAGGTATTAGTAGTTATGTTTTGGGGCAGTCCAAAGTTATACATGGATCTTTGTGTCGGGGCCAGCACCCCTAACCATCACATTGTTCAAGGGTCAACTCTACATATGAGGTTGTTTTTTCCACCATTTCTGTTTCGGATAACTTTTACACTTCCTAAAATATCAGGGTCAAACCATTTCTAGTGCTGAGAAAAAATTAACTTGAGAAAAAGCTCTTTTGTCTCTATCATCTTTTTAGTCTAATACATTTGTAGAGACTTCCCCATTTAGTTTCACACTGTGGATAGGATGTTAAGCATGGAAAAAGGTACAGATGCTGCCAAACAACTTAAATAATGATGGTTATTTAAAAGCACTTTTAAAAAACTTCTCTAGGGTAGTACTCATCCTAATTTGAAATATGTAAAGGAATTCCTTAGAAATGAATGGTATTCTTATGAAGCAGAATGTATTACATTAATAATAAATTCTATTGTTTTGTTCAAAATTCTTTATGAGTCAGGGCCTATTTAAGATCATGAATGGTTGTTAATAAAATAATTACTCATATAACTAGTGTTTTATAGTTCCTAGTATAGTTTAAGAACCTCTGCTAAAATTCAGACCTCAATCATTAGAGAACACAAACATTAACTTAACCAAGGTCTAAATGACTGATACTTGGCACTGTACTTAAAAGCTTTTTTTCTCTAGAAACAATGAAATAAAATATTCCAGAAAATGGAAGTCTGGAGGAATTAATAGATGGGAAAAGAACACAAAGGTGAAAATGAATAGCAAATTTAGCTATACACATACCACAAATTCTTCGTCTACTTTATTTAATGTTAATTCTGCATCATCTTCTGGAACAATTTCTTCTTCTAATTCTTCCACTGGGTATACTGGCCTAAAATAGTAAGGCTTAATATGAGATGAGAATTTTAAAAAATACTTTAGTGAAACAAAAAGGTATAATGCAAATATTAAGGATCTCCTCTACAACAGATTTTGTCCTTTTTCACCCCTCTTCCATAATTACTGTTAAATGTTTTATGTAGTTAAATGTTAAATGTTTTATGTAGTCTTCCTATAATTTTCTATGTAAAAAAGCCAAAGTATTTATCTCTAAATTTAAAGAATAAATTTACAAAAATAAGATGATAACTATGCATTGTTGTCCAAGTTACTCTCCTCACTTATCAATTTCCACATTTAAATAATTTCTTTTATATATGCTTGCACTATATCTTGTTGAACAGCAATACCATAATTAATGTAACTGGTAGCCTATGACTGAACATCAATGGTTCTTGCTTTTTGCTAGTCAATACTGCAAAGATCATCCTTGTATATTTATCATTACATATATTATTTAGAAAAAATTGTTCAAATGAAATGGCTAGGTAGACAACTTTGTACCTGTTCTTGTTTTGCTAGTTAGTGCCAAAAATGGCTTCTAAAATGTTACCCTAATTTATGCTCCCAACAATAGTGAAGGACAGTGACTCCATTTCCATATATTCACCAATATGATATACACCTTTAATCTTTGCCAATCAACCATGTGAAAAAAATTTCATTCTTGTTTTAATTGCATTTCTTTGGCATGAGAGTGACTGAAGATCTTTTCATATTTTAGTTAGTTATTCATGCTTCTATTCCAGTGAATGTCCTTTGTCCTTTGGCTTTTTGTATATTAAGAATATTAATGCTTTGCCTAACCTGTATTAAAAATATTTCCCTGGTTTATTATTTATAATCTTGGCTATTCAATTGTTACAGTTCTTATTAAATAGACTTGGCAACCTTTTCTTGAAGATACCCTAGCTTTAATGTCATATAAAACATTCTCTCAAACCACACCCTCTACACTACTCTGGTCTTTTAGTACTTCTATAGTTTTATTTCTCACATTTATATCTTTGATCAGTCTGAAGTTTATTTGGATAAAGGTTATAAGGAGAAGTACAGCTTTCTTCTTATTTCCATACTCTAATTAGTGTTCCTAACACTAACTATTGAACAATCATTTCTCCCTCAAAATTAACACATATTTCCTATATTAAAAAAACAATTTAAAACTAAATATTTAGGTTTAAATTAAATATTAAATATTATTTTAAACCTAAATATTTAGGTTTATTTATGAAAACTTATTTTAAATTCCCAAACCTCAGACATGTTAATGAAATATCAAAAAAAATCAACATTGAATATTGTGGAAAGTACTGTGAACCAAATCAATTATCTTAAAAATAAATTTCCTCATCTTTCATTATTTAGAATTAAATTATATCTCAAAAGCAATGTTCTTCTAGGATTCATTCTGGAATATTTAGATATATAAAATAACTGTCGATCAATATGTATCTTCTATGTAATTTACTTATTACATACTGATAATATTCTCTAATGTTTATTACTTTTCAACATCCCCTTTTATTTCCCACTTATATATACTCCATATAAATTATCCAAGTCACAATCTCTTCGATAAATGGCGCTGGGAAAACTGGATATCCACATACAAGAGAATGAAACTAGACTTCTATTTCTCACCACTGATACAAATCAACTCACAATGGATTAAATACTTAAATATATTACCTAAAACTATGAAACTATTGGAGGAAAACATAGAGGAAATTCTTCATGACATAGGTCTGGGCCAGGATTTTTGGGTAAGACCTCAAAAGCCTAGGCAACAAAAGCAAAAATAGACAAATGGGATTATGTCAAACTAAAAAGCTTCTTCACAGCAAAAGAAATAGAATGAAGGAACAACCTACGGAATGGGAGAAAAGATTTGCAAACTATGCATCTGACAAGAGGTTAACATACAGAATTTATAAAGAACTCAAACAGCTTATCAGCAAAGAAACCAAATAATCCAATTAAAAAATGAACAAAAGATCTGAATAGACATTTCTTAAAAGAAGACACACGAATGGCCAGCAAGTATATGAAAACATGCTCAACATCGCTAGTCATCATGGAAATGCAAATCAAAACTACAATGAGATTTCACCTCATTCAAGTTAGAATGGCTACTGCCAAAAAGACAAAAAATAACAAATGGTGGCACAGATGTGGAAAAAGGGGGGCTTTTATACACTGTTAGTGGTGATGTAAATTAGGAGAGTCATTGTGGAAAACAGTATGGAGGTTCCTCAAAAAAACTAAAAACAGACCTACCATATGATCCAGCAATCCCACTACTGGCTAGATATACAAAGGGAATGAAATCATGTTGAAGAGCTATCTGCACTCTCAGTTATTATAGCACTATTCACAATAGCCAAAATATAGAATCAACCTAAGTGTTTATCAACAGATGAATGGATTAAAAAATGTGGTATATACAATAGAATGTGGTGTACACAACAGAATACTATTTCAGCCATAAAAAAAGAAAATCCTGTCATTTGTGTCAACATGGATGAACCCAGAGGACATTATGTCAAATGAAATAAGCCAGGCACAGAAAGACAAATATTGCATGATCTCACTCATGTGGAATCTCAAAAAGTTGATCTTGTAAGTAGAGAGTAGAATAGTGGTTATTATAGTTGTTACCAGGGGCTGAGAAGGAGGTGTTTGGGAAGAGGTTGGTCAATGGATGTAAAGTTAGGTAAGAGGAATAAATTCTAGTGTTGTGTTGCACAGGATGGTGACTATAGTTAACAATAATATATTGTATATTTCAAAATAGGTAGAAGAAAGGATTTTGACTGTTCTCACCACAAAGAAATGACAAATGTATGAGGCGATGGATATGCTAATTACCCTATTCTGATCATTACACATCATATGCATATGTTGAAACATCATGCTGCACCACATAAATATGTAGAATTATTATGTATCAATTAAAAATAAGATGAAACTTAAAAAAAATATTACCCAAGTCACAATACATGGGACAGGAATAAGATATGCCTAGAAACAAATGAAGTGCAAAATAGAATAGTGGTTGAAATACTGCAAAATAGCTTCTGGTGAATTTAGAATCTATCGGGCTATCGATTTGATAATTTTAAAAAATGCCAAATAGGACACCACATCTCATAACTTATCTTTTCTTTAAATCTAATAAAGTATTATTGATCATGTAGTCATTCTTTATATTGTACAAATCATAATGTTTGGATTGAAGCATATGAAATTGTCATTTTTAGTAAAAAAATAATGAATATCAGTAATTTCATATGGTTAAACTCAAGGTTAAATAAGTCAAGGAACTTAATATCAAGTAGATTACCTGAAAGAATATAATTGAATATACTTTAAAATATTAACAGAGAATAATATATACACCTTTCTATAAAAATTAGTTCTAATCCCCCAAAAAATCACCATTTGCCCATGTTTTATAAGTGAAAAGTGACTTCCACATTCTAAATAATCCCAATCTTCAAAGATCAAATTAATTTTTTTTTAATTATAACCTATATGAATTGAAAGTTTCTGAATATTTTATTTCTTCATCTGTATGCTCAATATTTATTGAGCATCTATGATATACCAAGTGCTATGCTAACTGTCATAGAATACATATGAAGATTTCATAACTTCTAGCAAGAAAACCAGACCTGTAAATAAAAAATTTTAATACCACAGGATAAATAAAACATAATAGAAATATAAACAAAGCACTGTCAGGTCAGAGACAGAAGCAATGAACGATATATAGGAGAGTGTCAAATGGCTTCTTCAGTATTACTATTGCCCAGTCACTATAAGCAAAGGAGAAAATTCCATTTAAAGTACCATATTAATTTCCATTTTTTCCTTACATCTGTAGTTATCAGTTACCTCCATATATTAATATGCTTGTGTGTGTAAATATATGCACAATATATGCACAACTTTTAATAATTACATATTTGAATAGGGAAATGGCATAATACATAACACATTACTGCAGAACTAGTTTTGTAGACAGACTTTCCAATTTTGTCTAAACTAGCTTTTCTCAGTTACTTGTAGTATTTTCAGTTTAGAGCAGTTGAGAGAAAATAATGCTTATCAGTTTAATTAGACAGCTCTGCACCTTCAGAGTAAAATGCTATTTATTACAATTATCAGTTGGGAAATTTTTACCTTTTCCAGGTGAAACCAATATATTTCAATGCTTCTTCAGCTAAACAATCAAGAACATAGCATACATGCTCTCCATAACCTGACTTTAATTTTGAAGGAGGAAAATCTGCAGTTCTTCCCTAAAAAACAAAAAGATAAACAGGGTATTGTTAGTTATGTTCCAAATGTCAAAATAGTATAAGCAAAGAACAGCTGAGTATATGTATCACTTTTCTATCCTTCAAATGATTTAAAATAACTGTAATTATACTGCTACTTAGAAATCCACCTTTTAAGTCTTTTTAATCAGTTGATACATAAAAAAACTAAAACAAAATAAAGTTTCATTGTTAAAGTTACCAAATTAAAAGGCAAGAACATAATAGCAGCAGGACAAATTACTGATCTAGTTAGGGCGAAAAAAATCAGAAAAACTACAAGTTTCATTAAACAACTATGGGAAGGACAAAGTGATTCACTTGTCAAAAATTAATAACATGTGCCAAAAATGTCTTACTGCCTGTCCCTGGGAAAAGTCAGAAATGAGAAGTACAACTGCCATCATGGTTCATTAAATCAAAGTTCCCTTTCAACATACAAAGTGTTTTGAATTCATAGTTTCATCATTTTTTAGAAGGTGAACTAACCACCCATAAATTTACCTCTGAGACATACGGAGATGAAGAAAAATATTACTTTGGGCTATAAGGAGTATGCACTGAACATTTTCAGAAGAGACATTAATGGTATAATATCAATTATACTGAGAAGGTTTTACTTGAAAATAGATTCAGATATACTTTTGTATATTTTCACAGAGGAGTCATCTAAAAGGCTAGCATTTGTCATTAAATTACTAATATTATTATAAAATTCATAACTTGAGAACATGCAGAAAGAAGAGAGTTATTTACACTTACAAACGACCGAAGCTCAGATAAAACGTTAGATATTGTTGCATTAGGGTCATCATATTCTTGAGGCTGCTCAAAGGGACGTCCTGCTTTGTTAATCAACCAAGCAGCAAGAGTACAAAACATGTAGAACTGTTCACCAGGGTTAGTAGGCAATGCAAAATAGTGTCTGTTTAAAACAAGGAGGAATAGGGGAATGTGAAATAATATAAAAGTCTATACCAATTAATGGGGCCAAGTTCAAAATTACCGAAGAACCTTTCCCCCCTCCAAATGGCCTTCAAATCAAAAGACTTTAATAATTCACCCTTTGAGGTTTCCAGCAATCCACAGCATTCACATTAAAGTTTTTAATCAGCAGGATTAGGGCAATTACTACTGAACACAGAATATTAGATCAAAGACCTTATACCCAGGAAAAGTAGTGCATGTTAGAAAACAATGTGGAAGTTTTGCTAAAATCACATAAGTGTTGAGAATAATTAATCAGTACCTTACTAACAAAAATGGTAATTTAGAATTAAGAGAATTTCAGAGTTACAAAAAGAATAATCATTCACTATGCATTTACTGTTTCTAACCTATCAGCTATGCTAAATGGCTGTTTTCATCTTGGCTGCATATTCAAATCACCTTAGGAGCTCGTAAATATACTGCTACTTGACCAAACATCGCTTTTTCTCTCATCAGTGGATTAAATTAGGACAGTCCTTGAGAATCAGTATGATATATACATAAACATGATAGAAATAAAACTTGCTAGCAATAACATTCAAGTCAGTTTGATCAAAGATCTTATTTTGCTTTTTAATGTATAGCTATCACTATTATGTTTACAATATATTTACAGCTGTTATAACTACTGTCATAAGAATCAGGGGTCTACTCCATTATGTTTCCCAAACTTTTTCCTACGGGATATGTGTAAATGTTCTGGAAAATAACAGAAAGATGGGAAGGAAAAAAAGGCCATGAAGTCCTTTAAAGTATATATACTTACACTCTTTCAAAGCATCCATCCACCCAAAACTCATCTTTTCCTTATTAGCTGATAACTGCTAGAGGACAAAGAAATGAATACTGATAGATACTGCAGACCTAACACAGAGGTTCTCAAACATTAGCATGCATCAGAATCACCTGGAATCACAGTGGTTCTCAACCTTTTTGGCACCAGGGACTGCTTTCATAGAAGACAATTTTTCCACAGGATGGGGCAGCAGGTGCATGGGGGGGGGTGTTTCAGGATGATTTAAGTGCATTACATTTATTTTGCACTTTATTTCTATTATTATTACATTGTAATATATAATGAAATAATTATACAACTCACCCATAATGCAGAATCTAATGCCCCAGCTGAGGTGGAGGTGACAGGAGGTGGAATTCAGGCAGTGATGCCAGCAATGGGAAGCAGCTGTAAATACAGAGCTCGCTGCTCACCTCCTGTTGTGCAGCCCAGTTCCTCAACAGGCCACACACCGGTACCAGTCTGCAGCCCAGGATTTGGGGATTGTAAACCTGGAAGACTTGTTAAAACCCAGACTGCCAGGCCCCACTCCTAGAATTTCTGAAAAAGTACACCTGGGAAGGGGTCTGAGGAATTTCATTCTAGTAAGTTCCCAGGTGATGCTGATACTGCTGGTCCATGATCATACTTTGAGAACCACTGAACCAGTACATCTCCACACAAGCATCCTGCTAAACTCCTGAGGTAATAGTACACAGATGACATTAACAGAAGCTCAAGGTCACTTTCTTTTGGTTTGAAATATATACTTGGAAAAAATTGCATTTTTATTAACATAGGAAATGTTGGTTGTCTATATTATCCTGATAAATTCATTTTAAGTAATAATCCCAGTCCTACCTCTTCTATCGTGGATCAAAGCAACACTACTTTTTCCTCTACCTTTTCTCCTATTATGGACTAATTTAGTATTACAGACAGTTTACATAAAGCCTACATATCTTTCAAGTTACTGGAAGAGAGCAGATGAATGAGATCAAAATTGTCAAGGGAAGTTACTAGAGCTTGGCTGTAGGCAATAAGAGAAAGTACTACAGATTCTAATATTAATTGCCTGGTATGGAAGAAAATAAATAAATGCAAGTATTAAAGTGAAGAAAAAGCTACAAAACTTATTTGGCTACAGCTAAGCTACAGAAATTAGAGGAAATGCTAGCTGTTGATTACCCTCAACAACTAATGGCACTGACTACAGGATATTTTGGACTTTTCCCCACCCCAACCAGGGCATACATAACTTTAGGTTCTATGATAAGGGGACATTTCCAATAATTGTCATTTCATTTGTCTTTTCCACTTCCCAGTTTCAGAGAGTACTGTTAATGCAAAGGCAAAAAAGTCTTTTAAATCATAGCAAGTAGTCCACAACTACTTGCTAACTGCATATAAAGTGCTCCTCAGCAAGGTCCTACGTACCCACGGTTGCCAGTTGTAGGGATGGGATGTCAAAAAGAAGACCACAAACTAGAAACAGATTTAAATAATGGCATTCATCTCTGGAGATGAGATTATGGGCGATTTTAGTATTTTTCTACACATTTTCTTGTGTTTTCCTGAGTTTTCTACAGTGAGTATTTTTATTACCTTTACGATCAGAAAATACATAGTTTGTGTTTTGTAGAGGTGCATGTGTGTTTTAAAAAATGAGCAAGCTGTCTTCCAGTCCTTTCTGCCGTTCCAAAACTTGTTTACTCTCTTTACAAACATACCCAGTCTGAGCTCTGTGGGCTCCAGGGCCCTTTGTCGCCAAGTTTGGGGTGAAGTGTCCTTCTCTGGCTAGGAAGTCAGAAGTCAGGACTTGCCAGCCCGCGCTACCGTTCCCAGCAGGGCCAAAGAAGACATCTACCCAAAGCCCAGCCAGCACCCAGGCGCTCGGGACGAGAGCACCCACCTGGACGGGGGTTTCAGGTTGTTCTTCCGGAGGAGTTCCTCCTCGTAGCGGAGCAGCTTCAGCTTCTCCACCAAGTCCTCCATCACCACGAACATGTGGTAGGCCGCGCCAGGCCCCCGCTCCACGATCACCTCTCCGGCCCCTTCGCCACGGGACCGAGGCACCCCATCCTCCAAACCCGACGGCGCGACCACAGCCGCGGCGGCAGCCATGGCAGGACAGGTAGAAACAGCCTAGCCGCGGTCAGGCCCGCAGACCTCCGCGGCCTAGGCCGTCTGAGCTGCCGCAGCCAGGACCTTCGCGACCCGTTACCAGGAGACCGCCAGACAACCCGTCACCAGGGAAACTAGACTCCGCCTCCTTCCCGCCCTCCATGTTTCTTCCAAATTCCCTCCAACTAGGGCTGGGTTCCTCGGTGACGTCACTGGACCCGCCCCTTCCTTCCCTCGCCTCTGCGGGGGTGTGGCCAGGAGTTGTTTACATCCCTCTTGGAGGCGTGGCGTCCTGCACCCCGCTTCCCGCTCTGCCCCCTCCTGCTGCGGTTTAAAGGTGGAGCAGGGGTGGCTTGTGTTTTTGCTCTGCTTGCCTGTGTGACTCTTAGCTTGCATGAGGCTTCTTGGACTTGGTTACAAAAGTAGCTGAGTGAGCATTTGGGTCCGATGGTGGCAGTTAAAAGATTAAAGGGAGAAAGATGAAAACGCTCAGGAAATAAGGCTGCACTAGCCCACTGATACCTTTTTCAAAGTTTTTATAGTTGTAATCTATGTCATAGGTTTCACTTTACCTAAAGAACTTTCCAACAGGGGATCTTTTTTTTTTAATTTCAGCATATTATGGGGGTACAAATGGTAAGGTTGCGTATATTGCCCATGGCCCCCGGCCCCCCTCGAGGATCCTTTTTTAAGCATACTCTTTCTCTCAATAGGCAATGCCATACTTGTAACAGTATATTATAAGGCTTGACTGCATTGGGATACCCCGCTATTACTCCAGTGCTGGGGAGGTCGTGGGGAGGGGGTGGGGAAGAAGACAGAATAAGCAAAAACAGGAATTGGGAAGGATTTCTTCTGCAAAAACAAGAATACTGACCTCATATCCTGCTGCTTAATGTTTCAAACCCATTACATATAGTATAAAGTTTTGGGGTACCTCGTTAAATCCAACAAAATAAAGATCTTGAAAGAAATGTCCCTGCCCTAAGTGTGGCTAAAGACAGGGTGGACAGGGTGGTACTGTATTCTGCAGCTGTTGACCTAGAAAATGCAAGAAAGAGGACATAACTGAGCAGAGATGCAGCCCAGCTTTAGTGTTTAAAAGGCTTGTGTATCAGACAGGTTTCCAACAGCTATAAAAAATCAGGTTAGTGGTAGATGCCTGGTAGTTTCCTTGAAGAAGATAATGTAATGCAAGAGTTTGAACATGTGTTTGTGTTTATAGTGTGACTTTTAAGCGATCTCTGATCTTTTGTGTCTGCCACTAAATAATACAGAAGAATCACATTTTTTGACATAACTGCAATTTGAGATATACCTATAATATCTTTGTGTTTGTTAGAAAAATGAGAAGAGCACACTTGTCATTTTGACCAGTCTACAGCTAACTTGTTTCTGATACTAATAAAGGTGTCAAAGCAAAAAATCAGAAAGGCAAATACCATTTTCTATTCAAAGACGTACATAAAATTACTAATTTATGTAGGAAATAACCTAAAAGGTAAACCCACTGAGAATTGCTTTTTAAGTAAAAAACAAAGATTGATTGCTACTACAATTCATTGCCAGCTGCTTTTAATAAAAACGAGTTTAAAAATTGGGTTTGACGCTACCCCACTATCGAATTGGTCTTTCCCTTTCTTTGTCTTCTTAGAACAGTGGCTCTCACCTTTACATCCACACCTCAGCCACCACATGTGGGGGCCAAGTGTGTTATGGTACATGTGTATAACATTCACAGTAGTAATAAATAGTTTATGTCTTTTTAGGATAAAAAAAAACAACAACAAAAGAAAGCTCAAATACATGTTTTGAAGTAGTTGGTTAACCAGCAAGCAACCTGTGGCTTTTAAAATGACTCTCAAAAGGCCTTCAGACTTTAGAAGTAAAGTGGTTAAACCCAGGGTGATACATATTTGCCCTGGTTTTGCTGGGAGAAGTTTTCCTCTCTCCCATTAATCTCCCAAAAGAGATTAATATATAAGGTGTCTCCAGTAACTGTGGCACAAAGAGAAGGAAGGAAAAGCCAAAGTGTTAATACTGAATGTTTTCCCACAGGAAAAAAAAAATGAGAACACTGAAAGGTCATTTAGTTTTATAAGTCCCCTGGATTATTTTTGCTGAATCCTTGTTTACCCATAATAGTTGGTAACACATCAAAAGGTCTTTTCCTTGATAGGAGTTTTCGTCATTTGTTTGAAAATGCACTCTCAAATCCTCTTCCAGCTGTCTCAGCCAATTGGAAGATTTGCAGAGTATATTTGTATTAGTTTTTTGCAGGACTAGCTCATTCATTGACTAAGGAGTTAGAGCTTGAAGAGAAGGGAACACTGAGGCATGTTCATACTTCCTGCAAAGAATCTTGAGAGAAGTTTATCCCTGGTTTTATTGTACTGACCACTATTAATAGCAGGGCTTCTGACTTTGACTTTTATTTCTTGTAAACTCTCTGTAAAGTGATTGGAGGGAATTTTTAAGACCCTTAAGGTCTTTCTGTGACTATCTGAAAACTAAATAGCATCCTAGTACAAGATTATTTAAACTAAATTGATTTCCTTGGTGCTTAGCAAGGCTGGGGGTGAAAAGGAGGTGGATTCAAAGATGGAGACAGGCTTTCCAGCTGTATCTCCAAATCTAGGAGCAAGTCCTCCAGAAAGACTGGGCAGGCTTAAAGAACAAAGTTGTGTTGTGTCATAAATGGCTTAGTGCCACTCATTAAGGGTGTTTACAAACTAAGAAAACCACTAATTGAGTAAAACTTTCTTGAAACTATAGGAGAGGAAAAACTTTAATGCTACTTTCTTTGGTTCTGTGGCTGGGCCTGAGAATTAAACTGACATAAAATAGATTAACAGGAAAAAAACACACAAATTTTATGTAATATTTTTACGTGCACACAGGAGCCTTTATAGGAAAAATGAAAGCCAAAGAAGCAGTTAGGACCAAGAGCTTATTTGTTTTTTTTCTTTTTCTTTTTTTGACAAAGAACGATACATTGGTAGAGAAGTGTCAAGACAAAGGAAAAGTGGTTTAAGCTGCTAGGGGTGGTAAATTGTGGAAAATTGGCTAGAAAATATATGGGTAAAACTAATAGATAAGGATAATTTTAATAGTTTGATTTGTGCAAACCCATTTCAGCATCTATTTCCATTCTCCAATCATAAAAATTTTATTCTTTTCTTGGTACAGGAATGGCACCTTTCTCATTGGAAATCTTATGACTTGCTTTTAGATAGAAAGGGGAAGATCAGAGAGCCCTTCATGCATCTGCTGTATCTCAAGTGTCATCACCTCAAAATCATCAATATACAACAGTGGCATATTTTGGGATGGCATGTTCTAAACCCCATTCAACCTAATAAAAAGTGTCTGCCAAAAGTCTAGAAAGAAAAGGTCATATTCATATTTGAAGAATTGCAGGTGATGTCTTAGAAAGCACAGTGAAGGGTGAAGACATCATTCTTTATAACTTCTAGAGATCAAAGCCAGTACACTGAGACAAAAAACAGCAGAAGAAACTAACTATTGCAAGTGATGTGATTAAGTAAAAAATTCAAGAGAATCTATAAGCAAGCTATTCAGACAGCTCAGGAAGTTTGCATATATGAGATCCAAACTAAAGAAAAGTTACTAGAGATAGTTAAACAAAAATCTCAGTAATAAACAATATATAGAATTTAGGAATAAACCTGTCATTATATGTATGGAGAAATTGTTAAATTTCATTTAAAGTTTTGAAAAACTCCAAATATGAATACAATGTTCATGAATGAGAACAATCAGTGTCTTTTCCCAGTCTCTAAACTCAGTATAGTTTCAACTAAATTTCCAGGAGGGTTGAGCCTGAAATTTATATGTAAGAGTAAATTTTAAAGGATATGAGGAAGAAATCACACTATCAGATAGCAAGGTTTCTAATAAAACTATAACTTGACAATATCACCAGAATAAATATAAAATAGCCTGAAGCAGATGAGCTTTTATTAATATATGGAAAGTCAGTACACAACAGAGTTGGTATTATTAATACTAGCTAGTGGAAAACAAACTTCACAAATTGCTATTGAAACTGTGGGTTATCCATGTGGAAATAAAATTATATCTCTGATTTCCATCACATAAATATGAAATATTTGTAATATTTTTAGAAGGAAAAAAATTGGGTTTTTTTTACCTTCCATTTTGGGAAGGGTTTTTTTAAAGGAAATAAAGAACAAATTTTAAAAGACAAACTCATCAAAATTTAAGAACCTAGGTATAAAATAGGATTCTATAAACAGTGAAGAAAGAATATATTTGCTACCCATATAATGTCAATGGATTAGTCTCCAGGATATGCAAATGGATCATTGCAAAGCCTCTGTGTCATGCTAGAGGATTTTAGGTGTTTTCTTCTTGGTCTATGTATTATTGACATTTTAGGCTGGATAATACTTTGTGGTGGGGCAGGGGCTATTTTGTGCATTATAAGATGTTTAATAGCATCCCTGGCCTCTACCCAGTAGATATCAGTAGTGCCCAGCCCTAGTGACAACAACCAGAAATGTCTTCAGACTTTGCCAAAAGGCCCATGGGAGTCAAATCACCCTAGTTGAGAACCACTGCTCTAAAGACATGGGTTGAAATTGCAAATGCCTTTATAAGGACTAGGCATGTATTGGTAAATGAGTCATGCATGTGTGAGGGAACTATGGGTAACTAGGAAACTCACACACCAACTCAAAGATAGGGCATTTTTGTCAGGTAGTAATGCCGCCTGAATTTGCCATGTGTTCTGATTTTTGCAAGGATTTAAACCTGGGTTTGTATGTTATTGTGAGATCCTGATGCTCTTGAGGGTGACTCTTCTGCACAGAAAATATTTCAGGAGCCATGTTAGACTTGTTGCCTTAAAGTGCAAAATTGAGAAGCCTTTTCCTGGACTTTTTAGTTTGATATTCAAATCGTATTCACTTTATCCATGTGGTAAATTTTTTATAGTCCAGCTTAAGGGGAGGTTTACAATTTAAATTCCTATGGAGGTTTTAAATTGTTCATAAACTTGTTATATTTGTTTTAATATTGTCTGAAAAACCCTTTCAGTTAATAATAAAACTCATAAACCCAAAAGTAAAAAAAATGAAATATAGAGGGCATTAAGTTCTGTTAA